TTTACTATTTGCTATACGTAACAACAGCTTTGTTTAGTATGGTTTATGTTTATGCAACATTGGAAATCTATTTCAATTGCATTTCTAATTAATTAGAACATGAAACTTTTATTAGATAAAGGAGTAATTAAGATTCAAAAATAATTTTTAATTTTTCATTGTTAGTTTTGTTGACCATTAAACTATTTGTTCTTTGAAATAATTAATGAGGATGTCTTTTTAAAATGCATTTTAGTTTTCAAAACGGAGAAGATATTTTAAGAAGAACCTTTTGCATATATTTATTCGTAGTTGACGTTTATAGATTTTTGTTGTTTACACAATAATTTGCCTACTTATGATGAATAAAAACAATATTGTTTCTTTAAATAACTTTAACGAATATATACCAGGAATGGCATATATACTCTCAGTTGGTACACTAATTTAGAATATCACTTATCTGAACTGGCAGATTACAACAAAAAAATATAATTTTTTAAAATATGCCTTCCTAATTTTGCTAGAGATTATCTATTTGAAACAACAATTAGAATTAAGTTATTTATAACGATCAACATGCGATATTAATTTGGAGTTTATTTCCTATTGTATAAAGTTTTTCAAAGTAATAACAGATAGGTACCTATAAAATTTTCTGATATGTTCTGTATTAATTATACTTCTAGTACCTATTTTACCTTTAGTTTTATGAAAATCGAAAGAATGTATTTTTTATGCAACTTAGTATATCTACAGGGATAACAAAATAAAAAGCAATAACCAGTTATAAAGCTAGGATTGCCAATAACTATTTAAGGTCGAAAAGAACAAATTAAAAACAAGAAAATGGTAATAACTATCAGATGGAATCATTTCAGCGGCAAGAATGTTAGAAAAACTGTAATTATGCTTTTTCCGCTTAACGAATTTCATTTTCACATAGAAAGAATGCTAGACTTTTTATGATGGAGAATTTCGTAGTTTCGGTTATAGGAAAACGCACATAAAATATTTTTTTACACATATTAGATAGTATTATTTTTTTTTAAATATTTGTATGTACCTTTTGGCACGATTTAACGATTTAGTAAACGTTTTAAAATAACAACATCTATAGGGACAACATACATTCGCTTTCAATAACATTCAACAACGTATCGCGTGAAAAAACAAATTAGAGGTCGTGACCTAAACGTTCCATCTCTTCGAGAAGGAAATCAACGTCTATTTCTCGTACTGCTGCCGAAGATATGATGTTTCTGAAATAGTTTGGTCTTAGGTCATCTGGTTGATAACCCACCATTAGAGTTCCTGTCTGCATCATTCTTCCTTTCAGAATCGGAGTCAGCTAACAAATCGAGTATTTTTAATTGAATAATTATCAAAAAGTAGAAGTGCTTTCAGCAGTTAGAATATCTCCATGATTAAAGTAATTTAAATAATTTGAATCAGAGTAACCTTTCCAATCATAAAGTAACATTCAAGAGACCGCTTTGAGAAATTCTTTTTAATGCATTTTCCAACAATGCCCAGTGCTGTAGCTAAGGTCCTTGGCGCTCAAATTTGAATTCGACGCCTGCCAAAAACTATGGTACTTACTTTTCATAAAATTAGATATTTCTTAATGCGGTCGTGCCCTTATGGGGTCACGAATGTGCCCCCCTCAGGTTTGCGCGTTTGGTGTTAATCCTTAGCCACGACATTGAGCTTACTTATTCAGTCTGTATGTGAGATGGGATTTACCTTTCCAAGTTCTTGCTCTCTGGCGGGAGAATGGGGCATTTTTCGTAAGCGCTTGGGAATATACCAAAAGCAAACATTTACACATTCGGGTTCCATGATCAAATAAAATTTATCAGGATTTTCTTTAATTCGTTTAACCAAATACTCCGTTAACTCCATTAACTGATCCATAAGTTGCTCGAAACCTTCGTCACCCTGTAATTAAGAGTAAAAATAATGAAGGTCAGTTATTTGTGAGAGCAACTGTACATAATATTTAATTATTTACGATGAACAGTTACAGCAATTTGTAGTTATTTAAGCATGGAAATGTAAGTGGATGCAATAGTACAATATATAAAAATTGTATTGGTGTGCTTATTTTATTATAAATACATCAAAATAACATTTTAATATAATATAAAGAAGAGTGTTGTTCTAAAGCTATTTTTAGAAACAGCTCGATAATATCCCCAGTGGCGCAATTGGTTAGCGCACGGTACTTATAAGACAGTGTTCGTGAGCAATGCCGGGGTTGTGAGTTCGAGCCTCACCTGGGGAATATTTTTTTGAAGTAGTTGTGTACATATTTTCCTTTTTAGGAATGATAGTAAAAATTGAAAATATGTATCGACTGTATGTAGGATTGTTGTACACATCTGTTAGATAATATTTTTAATGGGTTCTATTCCGAACTTTGTATTTTTAGTGGAAAATCGTAATTATTAAATCGCTAATGTTTACGGTTTTAAAGAAAAACTATAATAAAAACTGTTAAAATTTAAATTGATGAGGTATGGACAAGTTTCGCTGTTATTTATTTTTTTTTATTAATTCTTAGTACTTCATTTTCCTCCATGATTCTCCTTTCCATTTTTATTTTCAATTAAAGAAACATTTTTTAGGGTTCCGTACCTTAAAAGGTAAAAAGAAACCCTTACAGGATCACTCCATTAGAGGTATCACGCGTGGAGGCACCAAGTACGGCTGTTTATGTTGCATATTTTGATACTTCCAAGGGAATCAAAACTTAAAGAATATTTTCCGTTGACCTAGAGAATTATGAAATTTTCCAGAAAGCAATCTTATAGCACAACTGAAGGGAAAATTTGATAATCATAAATTTATAGTGGCATCATAAAAAGGAATTTTTAATTGTAACATTGTAATTATACGTTGTGGGGGCTGATTTTGAAGGAAACTTAAAACATACTCGGAAAAATTGGGAAAAATCTTTGATTCGATTCTCCCGGCGTACCAACTATTTATGTTTGTACGGAAGCTTGATACGTGAGTGCGACTCGCCCTTGACCGGTTTTTATTCAAACTGTGTGTTTTGTCAAACAATTGTTTTTTTGTTGCTTACCTTTGCTCTCCATTGTAACCAAAGTTTGAAGATATCATTGTGACGTCCACACTGTATGACTTTGTCGCCAGTATCATATTTGACGTCATACAATTTATCTTGCATAAATAAGTAATCTGCAGACATTTGATTACAGCTCATAAGTAGACCCTGCAAGTGTACTCTTAAATTAAAGGTTCAAAATACACGAAAAGTTTATTAGCGTCTGTAAAGTTTAGGTAGTTCAGTTAAACAAAAAAGAAAAATTACTGAATTTCAAAAAAAAAAAAAAAACGAATAATAAAACATGAAAGTCTTATCGGTAGGGACAATTATGTTATAACTAGTGTTAACAACAAATAAAAAATTGCAATGAAAAAATAGCAAAAGAAACATCGCAAAATTCTGAAAATGTAATATGGTTAAACGATCTGTTTATTTTTTTAATAGCTGAAAGCGGTTTTGTAATAAACGAAGTTATTTTTTAGTCTTTTGTATAAAATAAAAAAAAAGAACATATTGCATTTTAGTGGTATGACAAGTAATGCTAAGGGAAGTGAGAAGATGATATTTTATCTCCCTCGAATACGGTTTGATTTTCTAAGCTTATTTTGTAGATTAACAATCAATGGTCACAAATAAGTTGGAGGTAGGGCTGTCCCTGTTAGAATAGGCATTTTTGGTAATTTACAAAACTAATACTAACTGTGTATTAACAATTCCCCGGTAAAAATTTAGGAATTCCTGAAAATTTTCCAATGGGTTTTACGGGGCTTTTCTCGATTTGAGCTTTCATTATTTATAGGTAGTATGTAAAAGTTAGAAATTAATGTGATGATAATATTAGGATAAGGAAGCACACTGTCACCAATAGTTTTTAATCAATTTATCGAAGATGCGATAAAATAAAGATGCAACTTTAGGGATAGATATACAGGGGCAAAAGATTAGTATGCTTAGATTGCCTAGAATAGCAGAAATGCCTTAAATAAAATGGAAGCGATATTGACAAAACATATATAAAAATAAAACAAAAATACTGGTATGCAAGGGATGTAAGAGTATATGTACAAGTTAAATAAGATTTTGTTGTATTCCAATATAAAAAAAATCTCAAATTATCCATTTGTGCATGATGAACTATGAAGTATAAATGTAATTACTGGTTTTGTTAAGTAATTAATTTAATTACATCTTCCTTAAAGTGAATAGTGGAACATTGGAGGAGGGCTCCCATAAGTTTGTGGGGGTTCCATGTTACGGAGTGCGCCCTAAAAGAAAATGAAACAGTTTAATTCTGAATCCGAAACTTTTTGTTAGTCTGGTGATCAGTAGATATATTACAATTTACTTCGAACTACCCCCATTGCCATATTATTTTTTTCGTCATATTTTGTTTGTGTAGATACGTTTTATATATACGTTTAAGGAAACACTTTATTCTACGTGGCTTTAATTGAAATGCTAATAAATTCAACTTAGATTTTAAGTGCGGTCTAATTTCCATTAAAATCTCTCAGAGGCCTCAAGAACACTTCTTCTTTGTGGGGTTCTAAAAGCGTTCGAGGGTGAAACTGTCAATTGACTGCCATCTATCCACTTATAATGGATGGATTATAGATTATGCAGAGGTGATAAAAAGACTTGGGATTAAGATAACGACGCGGTTGCCTTGGGAGCTTTATTTTTTATTTCACGGCCTACGGTGATCGATAAATTCCAAACGTTTAATGTTACATATTTAGAGTTCTTTTTTTGTTTCGGAAACTAGGAATGAACGATTGCCAGTTGTATTTAAAAGTAAATTACATAATTGAAATGAAATTGTATTTTAAAACATTAAATTGCATACGTTCAAATTCAAATAAATTCACGATGTTTTGTTCGTTCGTGCTGATGTCCTAAATACACGTCAAAGATAATTGAAAATAAACTAACTTTTTTTGGATAAAAGGTACTCTATGTCCTTTTCCGTACCTCTGACAACGTATGTACAAAATTTCATGATGATCGGTTAAGTAGTTAAGGGGTGAAATGGCAACAAGCAAACAAACTCACATTCGCATTTATATTATTAGAATAATTCAACTCACCTTTCAATTCCTGATAATCTTGGATGCCTGTATTTCTTTGATAGCAGCAGTCCACCTCCCCATGCGGCCTTTAACATTTTTTATTAGAAATATAAGTATTCATCTGTGCACATAACCACAAATTAATTCTTAAGTTACAGGTTCTTAATTTTACGTGGTTTAAAAAATCATAAGTAAAAAGACTTATCATTCGTAACCGTATATACTAGAGGCGAGTTGAGAACCGAACATAGGGATATTCTATTACATGCAATCACCAAACATTTGGTTGAAAAAAATATAAATACATAAAAAGAAAATGCTGACAAAGAAATGGGTAATTTCTAAGTTCGGTGGCTGTTTCTCCTTACATATATTCAAGATCGTTGATAATCAATTTTTAAAATGTTTACTGTAAGATTTAACTTTTTAAGGACTTTTTTACATATTGTTATGTAGGTAATCGCATTATTCGAAAGCGGTTGAATAAAGCTCAGTAACGGGGGTGAGTCAAACTCAGGGAAGCAAGTTAATGGTGTAATGTTTCAATTACAATATAGGTTACTTATTGAGGATGGATGCTTCGAGAAGTTGTTTCAAAGTAATATATATGTTGAACGGTAGTACTAAGCTAAAAAAATTCGTGTTAAAATTTCAATTTTCCAAATTAATTGTATTGGAAGAAATCGCAAACTAAATGTGATAAAGTTTTTATAGAATTTTTTCCAGTTCTTAATAATGTGTCTATGGTTTTGTTATACTAATAATTTAGGGTATCATTATTCGGTACCTGGGTAGACCCTATAAGAGTTGGGTACCAAATCGAAACCGGGTAATGTACCTGTCCCATTTCTAATAGTATACAAAGGGTTCCACTACAAAAATAAAGTTGTTTGCGGTATCTCCTAAACGGAGTACCTGGTATATGAGAGTGTATTTTCAGACTCTCAGGCTGTTCAGATTTCCTAGAAAAAATATTTGGTCTGCTCCTTTTTGAAAAATATACATTTACAAGGGCTGGGATTATACCTGCTAACTTTCTCTTTGGGGCACTATGGGTTATATGCAGGCAGATCGAAACTTGAAAACAAGTGGCAATAAAAAAAGGTTCAAGGAGGAGGCAGGCAGTTTTNAAGAGCATACCTAATCATAAAGGATTCATTGGTATGAATAAAATTATCCTATCAGTTGTAACTACCTTTGATCATGGACGTCATTAGTCTCATTACCTGTACGGTAATCTTGGTATAACGTAGGTCTCACTACGTGCTAGCTTATGGAGTTCCATAATTAGGAAATTATAATTATTTAAGAAACACAGAGAGTAGATTTTCACAAAATTTAAAATGTACTCAATATGTTTTGCCAAACGTTACTTTTTCACACAAGAGTGTTTAGTAGTAAGTACTCATGTTTGAAGAAGTCAATGTTTAGCTAAATATGTTACATGTTAAATAAATTTGTGAAAATCCATTATTTGTGGTTTTTTCTTGATTCCAATCATAATTATTTTTTCATGTGTCTCTTATAGATGAAGTACAATCTCATAAGCCGAAGCTGTTAATCACTCGATAACCGTAATACTTTCGAATTCATATTATTATTTCAACGATAGTGTAAAATCTAACTCAATAAGATACAAACATGTAAGAGCCTAAACAATTTACTCAAAAGCGTGTTCAGCCCTGTGTTACTTTTTTCTCTTTGATATGTATAATTTGACCAGGGTTGGGAACAAACGGAGTGAGGCTCCTGATTTTCCTTGCTTGTAAATTGCATAATTATATTTATCAATTATTTGATAATTTCTTGTAAAACCGAGAAGCTTAAAAACTAAAAAGTAATTACCGTTAAAATCAATGCAAAATTGGGAAAGGAATTGTTTAATAAAGCAATACCCATGTTCCGCCTTTTGATGTAAAGCTTAAGAAAATGTTACAACATATTTTATATAGGTACCAATGCACAGCCTAAACCCCTCGGTTAGATACTTGAAATTTTACAAGACGTTCCTTAAGTAATGTAGGTGAGCAGTAAGAAAAGATTTTTTTTAAGATTCAATCTCTAAAGTTGATAAAAAAGGATTCAGTTTGATGTATCGATTAAGCTACAGCCCAAAGCGCTTAGTCCTTAGGAAGCTTGAAATTTTACACAAAGGTTCCTTATACAACGGTATCATCTACCATAAAATGAGTTTTCAAAATACCACCCCTAAAAGTGAAAATGGGAGTTTGCGATATAATCAAATTTCACGCGGATGAAATGGCGGGAAATAGCTAGTTTGAATGTAAAGTATAATATGTTTGCTTTTCTTTGGCTTTTAATTATTTAATTAATTTATTATTTTTGTTCAAATTAGATTTACATTTACAATATTGCTGAGGTAATAATCACCCAGGTCCCTCGGCCTCATGTCATCAAAAATAAGCAAAGCAAAAATTCCCGTCCCCTTCCTTTGGTGCTTACGTAATAGGATGATTTTTTGACGATTCAGGGTGGAAGGAGTTGAAATATTTCTTTTTTCAACGCGCTCAGTTAAAGTGATTGAAAATGCTTTTCAAGTATAACAATATATGCAGTCATTTATGCGTCGTATGTTTTTGGAACTTTAGCCTGCCAGATATTGTAAGGATACTTGAAGTAAGATCTTTTTGCCAAAGATTTGTTTAAACAATAAAAGTGTGTGACATGGCAACTGTGGATTTCATTCATTCTTATATTTATAAGTTTTGGTAGAAATTTGTTCATGTAGGGAAGATATTGTTCATAATATTATTGTTAATATCAAGAGATGTCGCCCATAGTTTCAAAATTCAATTTTGGTACAGTGGAATGATGTATACAGATGCGAAAATTTCAACCGAAAAAGTAAAAAGGAATTATAGGAAAAACCTGGATGCAAGAGAAAAATTCAAAATAACTACGAATCACGTTTTGGAAACTTCGCAGTTTGTCTTAGAACTATTAAATAGTCATAATTACCACTAGAACGCATAATAATCGCAGTATCTACTGATACTAAAATAAAAAAATTAACTCACATTCTCTTTTGTCGAGAAAACTCCGTAAGGAATATTTTGAATTGGAAATGGCGTATCTTGTTGATAATCTATGAAGCACTTCATTCTCGTGCACTATCTTATAAAGACCTTAGATCAGAAGTTACTGAACATCCGTATAATAAATGTATAATATTTACCTATGTATCTGTAGCTGTTTTCCTTTCCCAGGAAGGTCATGCATATTATTTGAATATTTTACTTTGTGATAAATTCTTGCGTTAAATATATGAAAAATAAGTTAAATCAAGTATCTAAACAAGTTGTCGTGGAATTTTTTCTTTTAACTAAGATGCACTAACAAGAAATTGTCATCAGCAGCATGACAGTGAATTAATTGATAATAATTGACGGTGTTACATAATATACATACAAAAATACTTGATAATAAGCTTTGCGATAAAGTTTATTTTACAATTATGCTATACATTTTTACAATAACTGAATTAATAAAAGCTCTACTCTGTTAACAATATACACAAAAATGAATACGTAGCATTTAACATTCGTTATATATTTCTTTAATCAGTCAGTAAATCCATGTGATTATACTACCTACAGTTTTTAAATTATTCCTATTTTATTTATTAACAAAATATAGATTTGTGGAAGACGTATTATTCTATTGTTGTTATTGTTAACGCATAAATCAATATTATTATATTTGTACTGGGTACATAGCAGTATTTATTATATTTGGTACATTTTTAGCTAAAAAGGAAATAGTAAATGCAAATTTATAATAATTAATAACTAAAAACTAAACTATACACTTATATAATTTATTATGTACGCTTTTCTGTTGGACTATTAGTTTTAAAAGCAAATATACGCACAGGGGCGGATCCGGTAACAAGTATTGCCGAAGAAATAAAACTTTTTCCTAAATATATTACCTTTTAGAATAAGTTTTTTATTCACTCATGATAACTGCGGCATTTAGGATTTTTTCTCGTTAAAAATTAATTTATTGTTTTGTTTTTATGTGTTTTTCTTTCATAGAGTTCTTAGGGTTGAAAAATTTACCCATCGCCCTTTCCTTGATCCGCCACTGTTACACATGGTACTTTACTGCACTTTTTTTAATTAATTAATCAACAAATAGAGCATTCTATACACTGTGTTATTGCATCAACTACACATTTTAATTGTAAAGTACAACTACATATAGTTATTTATAATTGCAAAACCTATAAGTGGTATACATACTTGTTACACATTTATTTACACAATTAATTCTTGACACATTCATTTCTTTTAAACTTGGTAAATTGTTTTTAACTATGTAATAACAAATTTTTAAAATAACTATGGAATCGATTTTAAAAATCTAAATACTCAGCGGGGAGGCACTAAACAAATAAAGTATTGTTTCTAATGGATATAGAACGTTAGATAATTATTGCAATTACTTTATGATATTTTTCTCTGCTCCTGGATCTTGATGCAAAGTGCAATGTTTTATTTACAGTGATGTTTTAACTGAACAACTTTTAGATAAAATTCATATTTTTAATATACATACATATGTTTGTGTGCATAATTGACTGGTATTCGCGCATTATAGGTTTGGTATGTAACATACGAATTGAAGAAATTTTCTTTCGATTTTCATCTTTTATATTTTCTATAAATATCTTGATATGTTTTACCATGATACTCATGGTTGTATTACCCTAACTAATCTAAATTATTTATTTCAAATCATAGCACATAAGCTAAAAGTGTTTTTAAATGTAACAACAATCGAATGAAAAAAAGCGTCGTACGACGAAACATTTACTTGATTGTAGGTAATTAACATTCTAAATTATTATTTTTTTATTTCAATTTTTGTTAACTTATCATTTTATTTGAATTTCTATTGATTTTCTTTGGAAAAATCAGCCGCAGCAATAACCACTGACCCTAGTTTTTAAGCAATATTTTTTCTTTCAAGGGCATTCGTGGTAAGTAGGAAGTGGGCAAATTATTGTATGAGAATGATCCTAGATAAATGGAAACTATGAGTATCGATTAAGCTACAGCCCAAAGC